TAATTCGGTGATGAACCTCCGGGTTCTGTAAGCCATCTAGTTAGTTAATAGAATGAGTTGAAGCCAACCACTGTTAGTGCAAGAGACTTCACAGTACCAAGAATTTGTCGTGTCCTTTGGCTCGCTCTGATGCGTTGCAGTCTTTGAAACATTATTTTGTTTCAAATTGTAGCTGGTCATTGAAAGCAAGACAGTGTTCACGATATAATATACGGCTATTTTCTGGATAAATGAGCCGATTTCGAGGCCTTTTACCTTTCACCAGTAACCGTTAAAACAATAACTCTGAAAAGACATCTTGTTTTATCACTGTAAACATCTTTACTTTTTGATAAATCGTGTCTTACATTCCAATTCGGTATTATATTTTGAGAATAATTCACTTAAAACCTAAATATATTGCATATTTAGTCAGTTTTAGTTGTATGTTAAAAGCTTGAATTTGAACGACCGTACAGGTAGTCTGCTTTAGTGTGTACTCAGCCGTTAAGATTTTACTATTGGGAGAGACAGTGTTCTCTTAAAGGCTTTATCTCGTCTTTAAATTAAAATAATATAATAAATATATATGCTACCAACCTTAAACTCGTCTTTAAACTTCTTTTATCAGTTCCTATTAAACTTCCTTTTCTCCTCACTCATTTCAACGCACACTTCAATCCAACAAATCACAATAAATTTTTGTACAACCCATCTTTATGCAATGATAAGTTTAAACGTCAGTCAATGTTTTTATTTACGACAGGCATATAAACACACGGCCCGCGGGCCGAATGTGGCACTCTTTTATGTTTCATGTGACCTGATTCAGCTGTCAGTTATACACTATAGCGAATAAAAATAATCCAGTTTTAATAAATTACTGATTTCAAATGAATGTCATATAGCTGTTTGTTTCTCAGTTTTATATTTTAATTGATTAAAATTAAAATGCTTTTCTATTTAATTCGTATTTATGTGTACTTGTAGGTAAATAAATGAACGATAAATATACCCATAACATTGATATTGGCTTTTTAGAGAAAGTTTAAAATCGTTTTATTTAATAATCCAAAATAAAAATCAAACTACGTACATGTTCACGTTTTACCAATGCATACTTCGTTTCAATGTTTGGTATTTATCGCTGTTTCTGAAGCTTTGCTACTTCATTCCTTGTATCGTTGTGTACCATTAATCTTAACTTCATCAAGCCATTAACTGCAGTCTCCGTGTTTTTACAATCTGCATCAGAAATGATGCTAATGCATCGCCCCTTTCAGATTTTGTATGACGAGCGAGAAATTACTTTGAGATTTTTACTAGTGATTAATAATTCTGTACATGAATTTAAAATAAGTGAAAATGGTAAGTGTTAAGTGTGTTCCGTAGGGTTGTTTACTATAGCATCGGTTCACGAAATTAAAGATTAATCGTGGTTTATAATGTAACATTACTCTTCATATACACGTTGAATTATATAATACGAGCTGAAAAAATATACCAAATTGCAATAAGGAGGGCACGTCTGAAGATAATTTGCATCAGCAATCTGATGACAATTGTTTACGAATGGGTAGAAAGCTCTGAAGAGTGCAGACCTAATTTTAATGCATTATGTTTCGTAAATTATCACATGTCTTACTTTCAATCCAGAATTCCACAGTACAATTTCCGTATACATTTCTAACTCCCTGGTGGCAGAACCTACATGTTCAACACCGACAACATCAGAGCCCGCCACCGGCCACGATCTTGAGCCAGCTGCATCCATTTGCCATCTTCACAGCCCACATCTCTAAGATACATCTTGATGTTATTCTCCCATCTCTTTCTTGTTCTGCCCAGTGGTCGTTTTCCAGAAGGATTCTTTACCAAAATTCTGTATGCACCTCTTGCAAACCCCCGCCCATGCGTGCTACATGTCCAGCCCATCAGAGTCTCCTAGATTTCACTATCCTCACTGTGCTAGGTGGCTAGTACAATTCATGCAGCTCCTCGTTTTGAAATATTCTAAATTCCCCACTTATTTCATCATTCCTAGGTCCAAATATCCTCCTGAACACCGTTTTCAAACACTTGTAATCTATTTTCTTCCTTCAAGGTAAGAGACCATGTTTCACAGCCATACAAGACAACAGGCAAAATTATTGTTTTATATATCCTGATCTTCATTGTTTTGGAGAGTAAACGAGATGATGATTGGGAGAATGTTAACCCTTACCGTAAAAATGTTTTATGTTAAGAAAACCGCAGGAAAGCCTCAATATACATTTATACATATCTTAAATAACGTTATCTTTAAGAACACGTGATATGGTGAAGACTTAGGCATTTAAACGTCTGAGGGAATAGGATTTGAGACTTTCGCGGCGAGTACAATCAATAAAATCTTCTCGGGAAATCAGCCGCGTTAACTGGTTACCGTAGTAAACCGACGTTTCGGAACCAACTCTGTCCCCATCATCAGGGTTCTGATGCGACTGGATACCTCGGAGGTCGCCTGTGTCCGACGTTTCGGCAGCCAACTCTGTCCCCATCATCAGGGTTCTGATGATACCTCGGAAGTCGCCTGTGTTAACGTCGGTTTACTACGGTAACCTGCTAACGCGGCTGATTGCCCGAGAAGATTTTATTGTCTGAGGGAATGTTTAAACTTAGGTTATATTGATAATAATTCTTGTGATAAATATGACATCGTGGTGAGTAAGTTAATTATTATAAGTTTTATTAATTGAAACTGTTTAGGATCACCTAAATTTTATGAGTGTAACTTTGTTATGTAGTTTTACGAGCAAAGTAAATCCTCACGTATCACCGTTTTCCTTTCCGGAAATGGTCCTTGGAAGTACTGAATGATGAAAAAAAGATAACACTTGACTAATTCCAAAAC